TGAATGTATGATCCTATATGACGGTACCTCGGGGGCGAGGACATTCGTGCGCCGATAGTGCTTGATCTTAGCAAAAGTGTTTTAGTAAAATCGAGGACGCGTGTCTTCATCATAGGGTATTTCCGAAAAGTCCCATCAACTGCCCTCCAGCCTTCGATCTTCTGACACCGAGGACACGCGTTGTAAGGAGACGAAGGGTTTCCCAATTACCACCCGTCCTCCATCATGGCCTCGAGCCGCTTTCCCCGGCTTGGGATGTCGTGCGCATTTAATGCGTCGTTTCGATTTTCGCGCCCAATGATGACAATTGCCCCTATATAAAGGGGGTCCCTCTCCCGTTTTCCTCGTTTTGCCATTTTGAACTTTCTCCAGAGTACCTCTTCTTGAATCTTCGCCGGAGTTTTGTTTCTTCTTCCATCGTCGACTGCCTATTCTTCCTTAAAATCTTAAAGCCAGCAGACCCATCGTCGATTCTGATCTTTCTGGAGGGAGTCGCTTTAAGGTTTTCCAGAAAAAATTTCGTTTTGACGTTCGGGTGAGTTTCAGAATCCTTTTTCTTTTTCTTCCTCCTAGCCTTTTTGTTTTTCGATTGACCGGAGGTGTCATCCGGTTGATACATAGCGATTTAACCCTCAGGAAACTTCCTTAGGGATTTTCAAGAACAAATACCCTCTTCTTTCTTACTTTCTTAGAGATGCCCCGTCGTCGCCCTGCTCCCGAGAATCCTCAGGCTGGTCCTTCGGGGTCGGGGAAATATAAGGTCAAAGGCGATGAGCAGATCAATAGGTTTAGGGCCAAGTACGACATTCCTCCGTGCGTAGACGTAGAGGATTTTGACCCGGTGTTGCACTCCTCTACCCTCGGGGCCGAGGATGCCATGCCCTTCTATACCAAGGCCATCATAGAGGGTGGAATTAGGTTTCCTTTACCCCCTTTGCTTATTCAGTTCCTCTCTCATTTCCGCCTCTTCCCCGGGCAATGCTGCCTTAATGTCTTCCGAATAATCATGGGAGTCTTAGAGCTCAATAGGCGCCTCGGGGTACATATTGGGCTCAACGATCTTCTTTTTTGTTATTCCCTCCTTAGAGTCATACCTCACCAACACTTCTACCTCAAAGCTAGGGACCCCTCCATGTACCTTGTAACCCATCTTCCCGACTCGGACAAGGGGTACAAGGACGATATTCTAATCTTCAAGGGATCTTGACAGAGAGGAGCTGTTTCCCGAGCAGGAATATCTGCACAAACAAAAACGCTGTCATGAACATGGGAAACCTGGAGAAAGAAATAATAAACCCAAAGGAACCGACGTACTTGTCGTTCTCCATTCCAGAGGGCATAACAAGTCATTATACTCGGGACCAACGTTCGGCAGTAGCCTTTACCTCTCAGTGCCCGCAGGAGCTTCGTCCCACATCGACTGAGAGTCGTCTCCCCCCTCGCATATAAGCCCTTGCACTCAAAGGAGGAGGTACCCAATAGGCACCTGATCAGGTCGCTAGTGGGTACCTCCTCCTTTGAGTGCAAGGGTTTATATGCGAGGGGGGGAGACGACTCTCAGTCGATGTGGGACGAAGCTCCTGCGGGCACTGAGGGGTAAAGGCTACTGCTGAACGCGCGCAGGTCAGCTGAAATCCTTCTGTGGGGGGAGGACATCCCGAACGCGCGGATAAATCCCCTACAGAAGTCTACACCACACCTACTGTCCATGGTAACTTGAACCTTAAAAATAACAAATAAACTCATTTTGTTGGGCTGAAACTTGGATGAATTTGCATAGGTAGAATCACAACATATGCTACATTTTTCATCTGGGTCGATCTATATATCTTGCACCTAGTCGAAAAACTTACATCATGTAATGGGAAGTGAAAATATACCTACATATAAAAAAAAACAGGCAAAAATCATTATATATCTGATTATTCGTGTTCGTGTGCATAGTGCTTTAACTTTAATATTGTAAACCCAAGCGCAGGTTGAGCAAAGTAATATATTTTTCGGAAGACTGAGGTCGAACCTTCAAGGAATTGTAACAAGAAATCAATCACACAAACACTTAAACAAACTTAAAAATAAATGATTTGTTTAGAGAATTGTTGAACAAATAAAGTTGATTTAAATAATTAAAACAATAATAAAAATACTAGAGCATTAGGTACTCCCTCTCAATTCCATACAATAATGATTAAAGACTCAAATCTTAACTTGAGACAAGAATTAGATGTCGGTTGATTCGAGTAACAAATCAAGTAAGAAAATTAAAAGTTATAATCAAAAGATTATTCAGAAACCTGAATAATCGTCAAATTATATTATTTTATGAAATAATGATAATTACCTTAAGCGTGGAATAACCAGTTATTTACTCGCAGAGAAATTCAAGCAATCGATATACATGACATAACGACTCTAGGATTTGTACAGAATAAAAACTTTGCTAACATATCAGAAGTTAAATTAACAAAATATCATAAATCATTAAACTCAGAATCAATCACATTACCGTACTTCATTAAGAGGTCCTCCCCTAGCCCTAACTTAGCCTTCTAACTGGACACGACGAACTAAAATAAAAATAAAAAGGGAAAAAAAAGAATTATATAAAAATCTCTAAATGAGAACCCTTATTTATACTAAAAATAATCGTAAGTATCGGTAGAAGATATAAGATTGTCTTGGAAAGAATTCCTTTTCCAAAAAGAAGTCTTGTAAGATTAAATCCCGTGTATAAAATCTTTGGGACACGGGTACAAAATCTGTGCAAATTTTGAGCTTCAATTTCGCATATTTAGAGGTTGAATTACGAAAATTTTGTGAAATACACTTTTGTAGCCTTTGAAGTCTTCTTTTTCACCCCCAAAAATCAAGTAAATCGGATATCAGAGTCAAAAGTTATGACCAAAATACTGAAAACGTGTCAAATCTTTATCTTCTAGTATACTTTCCTAATTTAACTCTAAATGAGTTTTCTTCCAACTTGGACTTTTATAAAGATTAAATTGCTGATTTATCTTCAAGTCTTCTAATCTCAATCTTGACTCTTCAATCCTTATCAGTAACAATTCTTCCTCTAGTAATTGATTCATTTGCATTATCCAATATTACTTTAAATCAACTAATTTACCTGTAAAATAAACCAAACAACTAGAAAAAGTATCAAACTAGAAAATTAAGGAATTTAACACATTTAATCACAAATAACATGTAGTTAACCAATAATTAAATATAATAAAATAACAATTTTGATAGTTAATCACATAACTTTTCAGCTACATTGAGAGGCATGTAATTTAGGAGTTGATATAAATTTATTCAGCCTTTTAACCCTTTCATTTTTGCTCATTATTGTTTCTTCTTTTACTTATAAGTGAATAACATTCTCAAGTAACAATAAATATCATTTCAATGTTTTCTAGACTTTAACTAAATTAAGATGCCTACAATGAGGAATTTGATGCGACCCATTTCCTACCAAAAATCAAACTTAAGCTAGATTTTATTTAGAAATCAAGCTTTGTAATGCCGTTATCCTGTAATCATAGCTAATCATATAAAGCTCTTATTGAAACATAAACCAACTAAGTGTTCTGTCTTACAATAATTAAGTTATTTAGTAGACATGAATAAATTAAAAGACGTTCATAATAAAATTAAAGATTAGTTTCACTACGTATATTTTAATTCATAATCAACGTTAAAAAATTATAAAATAATCATAACGCACAATTTTTTTTTTTGCCACTTTATTTTGTATGTATTAATAGTGATATTATGGAGGTTTTTGTGTTATTATTTTAGTGAGTATGACCTGTAAACATGACAATGTTGCAACTGTGCTTGTTACTCTTAATAATTTAGTCAGAGTTCGTTATTGTTTGTACTTGTATTTTGATGGTTATGATTGCATTATGAACCAATGAAAAGCGAAAGACACGGGTATTGACGTGGTTAGTTGATAGGTTTCGTGCACAAAGTGAGCATCTCCATAGGCTTATCGGAGAAAGTGATAGAACATTTGTAGAAAAACTTATGATGGATAGTCATACATTCCATGTGTTGTTCTATCTAGTTAGGGAAGTCGGTGGGCTTACCAACACAAAGAATGTGCGTGTCGAAGAGATGGTTGCAATGTTCTTGAGTGTCATAATACACGATGACAAGAATCGCCAAATTAAGTTCAACTTCATTATATCTGGGGAGATAGTGAGCAGACACTCAACACGGTTCTACACGCTGTTCTTATATTGAACTGATTGCTCTTGAAGAGTCCCGAACCTGTTGCAGATGGGTATAGTGATCTCAATTGGCGGTGATTCAAGGTAGATGGTTACGAGCAATGTGGTTGTCATTTTTTCGTAACCAAATTTGAAGTACACATTTGTAATCATTTGTTTTCATCGTAATTGGTTTTATAGGGATGTGTAGGGACACTAGATGACACACATGTTAGGGCCAAAGTACCCCTTCTACACCAAGGTAGATATAGGAACAAGAAAGGGTGGACAACAACTAATGTGTTGGGCATTTGTAAGCAAGATATAAAATTTATCTACATATTGCCTGGGTAGGAGGGGTCTGCCGTTGATTTTAGGGTATTGCGAGGTGCAATTACAACACGGAATGGGTTGAAGGTGGAACGTGGTAAAAATTATTTTTTAGACATTTGGTTACTTGGTAAGTTTCTTGAAAAATTTAGATTTATTCAATTATGTGCCCTTGTAGGTACATATTACCTTGTGGATGTTGGGTACACAAATGGAGAAAGCTTTTTGGCTCCATTTCGTGGCCAGTGATACCACTTGCAGGAGTTTGCTGAGTGTGCCACAGTCCTAGAAACGCGCACGAGTATTTCAATTTGAGGCATGCAATAGCAAGCAATACCATAGAAAGGTGTTTTGGACTACTTAAAATGCGATGGCCTATCCTTAGGACAACGTGTTTTTACCTGATACCAACGCACAACAAAATCATTGTTACTTGTTGTTTACTACATAATCTTATTATGAACGAGATGGAATATGATCCGTTGGAAGAAGAGTTGGATGATCATCTGTTGAAAGATGAGAATGTGAATGATAATGACATAATTGATAGCTTTGAATTTTCTCATGGTTGGGCTGCATGGTGTGAGCAACTAGCAACTATGACTGGTGGTGTATTAAGGTTGCTTGATGTTAGTCGGTAAAGATTGTTGTATGTTGTTACTGAATTCCTTTCGCCTACTGTTTTTGTTTTGTTAAGTTTTATTCCATGTAAGTAAAGGTATTAGTGGATGATTTACGTGTATGTCAAAGTCTTTAAAGCCTTTTGAATTTAATATTTTTTTTGGCAAAGTTAACTTAACTCAACACTTTGTAGTGGTGACATGACAAATGTCGGGAGTTCACAATTTAGGGGAAGTTCACAATTTGATAAGGGACCGAGACGAATGTGGACATCGTTCGAAGAATCTTTTTTTTAAAACGCGCTTAAAGACATGTGCAATCAGGGCTGAAAATCCCAAAACAGGGCGTTCAGATCAAGCTATTTGCACCACTTGGAGAAGGCTTTATCAGACGCACTTGGTGGAACTGTCCTACGTGCCACTCCACACATTGAGTCGAAGATTAAAAACTAGAAGAAAACCTACACCACACTCTTTACCATGCTTAGCATGTTAGGTTTCGGTTGGAACAACTCAAAACAAAGGATAGATGTTGAATGAGACGACGTTTGGGTTGAGTTTGTCAAGGTACTTACTTTCCACCCCTTATAATCCAGCTTAAGTCATTCACTAATGGTATGTTGTTTTTTAGAAAGACCGCAATGCAAAAAGAATGCATGAGAAAAGATGGTCTTACTGCAATGACTGGAGCATAATTTTTTGGCAAAGATCGTGCAACGGGTAAGTATGCTAAAGATTTAGAAGAGATGGTTAGGGGTGACCATGCGAGGTTTCATGTGCATGTTATTGAGGATGCCGTCGACACTGACGTAAACATGATAGACATTGGAATGTCTAAAAGCATGCCTCAACATGGTTGGTTGGACAAGGCGACACACCCACAAGCCGTAAATAATGGAGGAAGAAAACTGGTTAACCATCTAATGGAATTGCATGTAGCATAAATAAAATGACTGACATATTTGGTGATTATGTGTCGAGCTGTGGAAAACAACTCTCAGACATTGCTTAGAGGGTTGGTTACGAGCAAGATGCTGCAGAGGTGAGGCGTCAACTGAATGCAAAGTTGGCAAAAATCGATAGCCTAACGATGGATCACCGACACAAGACGGGTTACAAAATTGCCAGTGACTCGATTAAGGTGGATCTCTTCATGAGCTTGCCAGAATATGAGAGACTAACATGACTTCTTGGTGTGCTATGGGGTAATGCACCTGTGATGGACAAGTAGTACTTATCCTTACTCGCTTATTCTAGAATCTTTTCAACGATGTTAAGTCATCTCCTCTTCGTTGTTGTTCCTATATTGTGTGTGAAAGTAGTATTTAGACAATGTAGAAGTATCTGTAGGCTTATTTTTCCATCATAATGTACTTATTTATGCTTATTGTGTTTGGATATTTAATTTTTGTGTTTTAAAAATGTATCCAATTCCTTGTGTTATTCACATATCACAATATTCATGACTGCATTAACAAAAATGAAAATGGGTTTGAAGAAGAATGATATCTTGTGTTTAATGGTTGAAGGGTAGATTTTGTTGATACTTGGCAAGAATGCCACGACCTTGTCACTGGATATCCAATCGCAGTGTACAAATCGTTTTTATCATACGAAACTGTACAAGAGGCCTTAGCAGTACACGTTTCTGCTGTAGTGATGGACCAAAATAAGAATCCAATGCATACAAACAAAGACAACACTGTGAATGAACCATGACCATGACCATGTGAACGCATTCTCATGTCACACGAAATGTTTGGAAGAAAACTCTCTCCATAAATTGAATTAGTCCCACAAAATAGAATTATACTCTTTTTAGTAGAGTTCATATTGAGTTTCATAATTTGCAATATTTTGACCTCATTTGTGGAAAAATTTGTTTGAATGAACGATCATGTACGATGATCATGTTTTCTAAAATTTTTTTCATCAAATTATAGTATGTTTGTAATTTATGTATTCACTTTTATGGATTGGTGTTACTATACTTTACTGTACAAATTTATGATACATTATTAACTTATTTCTTGCGCATTCATTTGTAGTGGATATTATTATTAGAACACAGTTAAAAGAAATGCGGCGATTAAGGCTAACATAAGATGAGGAAGATGTTCTGTTGGATTGCTTTATGGACTTTAAGTTAGAGAGACGCATTGTCAACAAGGGTGAATTCTTCGAAGGAGCCTGGAATCGTCTGTGGGAGATAATAAGTGAACGTCGGCAAGCACCGCGATTAACTCTTGGACTAGTTATGGAAGTAGTTATTTGGAAGAGACGCCATTTTAAGATGAAAGATATGAAGGCTTTGGGATTGTTCCGTTGGAATAATGGACAACGAGTTTTTTTCCCAATTAATCAAGCCGGATTATCTTTCTTAGAGGTTTATTTTTGTTAGATTTTAACATATGTATATTAGTATATGAATCATTATGTATATGTGTGTATAAATCCAATTTGTCATTTTTTGTAGGATGACACATTCGCATCTCGAGCATGTATGCGGACTTGTCCCAATTACGAGATCTTCACGAAAATATTCGGCCCACTTGGGGAAGGTGGAGACATATGAACAATTTATTTCCAGTGCTGGCTCCACTTCAGTCACTTCTCCGTATAGGCCTACTGTGGACTTGGTTATCATTGATGACTAATGTTATCAATAGATGTGAGATGTTTGTAAATAATATAATGATGTTTAATATGGTGTAACAGAAATGTGTCCATCCGGTTTGTTTTATTTGGGAATGGACAAGTTTTGTGTGTATCTTCGTATATGTAAATGCTAGAATATTTTGTTGGGTTAATACTTTATTGCGCTTTATTATGGTTATGAATAATAGTTATATTTTATCACCATTCATATTTTTTTTAATGAGTTAGGACAAAAAAAATAATTAAATATGAAAACTATAAAGACAAAAGAAAATGTATGTATATAAACATGAGTTTAGATTAGATAAATGAAAGGGCAAAATAGTCATTTGTAGGCAAATATATAATAATAATGATATATTCGTGGACATATCAAATATGGGTATGAACGTGATTAAATGTTGAATCTCATCTGTGTAAAGAGGGGTTTAAGTTTGGAAGAGTTTAAATAAGTCAATCCAAACCCCTTTCAAACAACCATCCAAACCAACCCTTAAGTGACAAACATGAGGGGTCCAGGTTTAGACCGCAAACTGGATGACTATTAGCTTCAAGTGCACATTGATACAAATTTATATCTTTGTGGGTGTAAATTGAGATTTTTAATTTTTAAGTGTACAAATTGAGATTTGAGATATCTTTGAGGGTGTAACTTGAGATCAAACCTAAAATTTTTAATATCTATTAAAGTAGTAAATTTTGGAGGTGCAATATCAAATTTTTTTTTTTTTTTTTGGGGTACCCTAGTCAAGTCCTTGAATCAAAAGGGACTTTGAAATTCCGAATTCCCATACAAATACAAGAAGAAAAATAATCATTTTAAGAAAGTGGCAATGATTCAAAACATCTCATTTCTATGTTCTTGGGTTAACTGTCTAAAGGCACTGTCACGCAAGTGATTATTTAGCATTAAAGTGATTATTTAGCATTAAAGTCAAAGAAGGTGGCGAAGTTAGGGGCACAATCATGATGAAGAAAGTCGAGGCTTGTAATTATGTCCTTGACCACATATTTCACCTTTATTTCCCCGATTGTGGTTGTGTAAAAAGGTGTTATTTGTGTAATTATTCCAAAGGGACAAAAAAAGAAAAGAAGAAGAAGCATAATCATGGTATAAGTTGAAGTAAAAATGAGCTTTAATAGTTACATTCAAAATATGTATAGTAATCACGAATAAGTTAATAAATAATTTAAACAGTTTTAGCTCAATTCAATTTTAACTTGTTTGAGTTTATTCAAATTAGAAAACAAGTCAAATTTTATCAGACATCTAAACTCATTTCATAAATGAGCTAAATCTAAGAATTGTATGGCTCAAAGTTTAGTAGACTTAGTTTGGTTAGAATAGATTCATGTATATAATTAATTTTAGTTTTATTGTTAAGCAACCCTTATCTAAGAAGGGTATCAAATTTATCTTCAAATAGCTCCAAATCATCTACATCTCTCTCTGTCTCTCTCTCTCTCTCTCACACACACACGTTTAAAAATTTTAAACTTTCGATGGTTTTATTTTGTGGTTGATAATATATAAAGTTTGAGGGATTTTATTTGAGAATTTGATTATTATAGATTGATTATAAAGTTTTTTGTATGTGGTGCGAACATAGCAACGTTAAAAAAGCCTTTTGCGTAATTTTAAAGGACGAAGAACCTCTATGTTGAGATTACGACCGTCGCTGAGCACTTAGCTAATAAAAAGCAGAGTCAAATTTAAACAAATTTAAGTTCGATAAACTTGATTAGACTTATATTTTAAATCACAAAATACGAGATCAAATCGGTTCTCTATTATTAAAAACAAAAGGAAACAGCAGCGTCAATATCATATGATGCCTAAGTAAATCATTGGTACATCCACAAACCTTAAAATTTTCACGCGGGACATTTTCCATGAACATGACAAAAGTTAAAAAACCAAAAGAATAAAATGTCACTTACAACAAAGACAGCCAGTGATTAGTTCTTACATTGACTTTTTCAAAGTGTGACAAGAAACCACATTAGGTTGGTGAATTGAAAAAAAAAGATTGGTATCCTATTGTCAAATTTTATAAATTTCATGGATTAAGATACAAATTTTTAGGGTTTTTTTTTTGGGCAAGTAAGCTTTTAGGTTTATTTACAACAATTTTTTTTTTATAATTTTTATGGTTCGAATTATAACTTCACGAGGGTCATTTACAATTTTAAGATTATTTAGGATCGATCTCAAGAAACCCCAAAAATTGTAAATAATCACAAAAGACAGTTCACGTGATAACAAAAATGAGTTGTATATTCAAATATTTTGACTTCGAATATTAACAATCCCTTAAGAGTAAGTCATGAAAAATTTATCCCTCATAAATACCCTAGTACTGACGTGGATGACTTACTTCTGACAGAACTGAGAAGAGAATTAGTCGCAGTATACGCAAGTTAGCTTGAAACCCTCT